ACCACCACACTGAGTTACCATGATGATACCACCACCACACTGAGTTACCATGATGATACCACCACACTGAGTTGCCATGGTGATACCACCACCACACTGAGTTACCATGATGATACCACCACCACACTGAGTTACCATGGTGATACCACCACCACACTGAGTTATCCTGGCAATCTGGAATATAGAGAAATTGCTGCTTATTTTTCCAGAAAACTTTCGAAAACAGGTCGCAGGTAAAACTAGAAAAAATAATATACCTGCTGCAATGATGTTACCAAACATCCAAAATGTGGCTAGGACACTTATCATAGTTCCTCGCTTCTCTTTGGGCTGGAATTCAGTAAAATAGGAGAAAATGACAGGAATGCTACCTCCAACACTGCAACAGTAAACACAAAGTCACAGTTATTTATATCAACACTGTAACGGTAAACACAAAGTCACAGTTATTTATATCTTCACTGTAACAGTAAACAGAAAGTCACAGTTATTTATATCTACACTGTAACAGTAAACAGAAAGTCACAGTTATTTATATCTACACTGTAACAGTCAACAGAAAGTAACAGTTATTTATATCTACACTGTAACAGTAAACAGAAAGTCACAGTTTTTCATATCTTCACTGTAACAGTAAACAGAAAGTCACAGTTATTTATATCTACACTGTAACAGTAACCAGAAAGTAACAGTTATTTATATCTACACTGTAACATTAAACAGAAAGTAACAGTTATTTATATCTACACTGTAACAGTAAATAGAAAGTCACAGTTATTTATATCTACACTGTAACAGTAATCAGAAAGTCACAGTTATTTATATCTACACTGTAACAGTAAATAGAAAGTCACAGTTATTTATATCTACACTGTAACAGTAACCAGAAAGGAACAGGTATTTATATCTACACTGTAACAGTACACAGAAAGTAACAGTTATTGATATCTACACTGTAACAGTAAACAGAAAGTAAAAGTTATTTATATCTACACTGTAACAGTAAACAGAAAGAAACAGTTATTTATATCTACACTGTAACAGTAACCAGAAAGGAACAGGTATTTATATCTACACTGTAACAGTACACAGAAAGTAACAGTTATTGATATCTACACTGTAACAGTAAACAGAAAGTAAAAGTTATTTATATCTACACTGTAACAGTAAACAGAAAGTAACAGTTATTTATATCTACACTGTAACAGTAAACACAAAGTAACAATTATTTATATCTACACTGTAACAGTAAACACAAAGTCTTGATTATATGTACTGGAAAAAATGTGATAGCACTAAATGAAAGTTGCAGGACTTAAAAGAAGACTCACCCTATTCCACTGACCAGCCTCATCAACAGGAAAATCCAGAAGGACTGACAGAAACTTGATGAGAGTGCTCCAAGTCCATTGACGGTCAGTGAACCAAGTAAGACTTGTCTACGGCCGAAGTGGTCAGCAAGTGACCCCCAACCATAACCACCTAACATCATACCTGTAATCAAAGGTAACCACCTAACATCAAACATGTAATCAAAGGTAACCTCCTTGCATCATACCTGTAATCAAAGGTAATCACCTAACACCATACCTCTAATCAAAGGTAACCACCCAACATCATACCTGTAATCAAAGGTAACCACCCAACATCATACCTGTAATCAAAGGTAACCACCTTACATGTATCCTACCTGTTGTCAAGGTAACCACCCAACATCATACTTGTAATCAAAGGTAACCACCCAACATCATACCTGTAATCAAAGGTAACCACCCAACATCATACCTGTAATCAAAGGTAACCACCTAACATCATACTTGTAATCAAAGGTAACCACCCGACATCATACCTGTAATCAAAGGTAACCACCCAACATTATACCTGTTATCAAAGGTAACCACCCAACATTATACCTGTAATCAAAGGTAATCACCAAACATCATACCTGTAATCAAAGGTAACCACCCAACATCACACCTGTAATCAAAGGTAACCACCTTACATGTATCCTACCTGTCGTCAAGGTAACCAGTTAACATCATTAGTCACAAACCGCAACAATGGCTGTCATCAGATTAGAACAAATGTACACACTGAATGAATTTCCTTAAAACATTTAGAGCATTATTTAAGGATAATATTTAAATTTGTAGATTATTTCATTCTGGTACAGGACCTATGAGTGGTTTTTTTAAATCCATCAAGGAGGCATGGTAGACTCGTGGTAAGACGCCGGGCTATAGGAGGCATGGTAGACTAGTGGTAGGACGCCGGGCTATAGGAGGCATGGTAGTCTAGTGGTAAGACGCCGGGCTCGTGACCAAAGGGTTGCAGGTTTGAGTCACAGCACGGCACTGTGTTGTATCCTTCAACAAGATACTTTACTCCGCTTGTTCCAGTCTACTCAGCTGTAAATGAATACATGGTTGGGTAGTGCTGAAACAGCTGAATGCTAGCTGTGAGCGCCGAAATGGCAGCACCGGCTGTATGCTCCCCAGGGAGTTGAGAAAGATATTGGCTGGATGCAATAGGCCCTATAACCACGGATAATAATTTGTGAACCGCTTTGAGACGACTTAGGACCTAGGTTGTGATAAAGAGGTATATAAAAACATGGAGTTATTATAATTATTATTATTTAACATGGTATTACTCTATTTACAGCCAGGTGATACTTTGCAACACTCAGTAAGATGTGTTTACTACCTGGATGAAGACTATTAGAACAACACCTACCAACAAACATGATGGAGTTGAGCCAGCCTTTATCATTAGAGGTCAGGTGAAGATCACACTGTGCAGCTGGCAACACAAACGAGATGGACAGTACTTCAATGGCATCACTGGACACAGCCCATCCACACAGTGCCAGCACCAAATAGTGAAACTTCCCATACCCTGAAGTCAAAAGGTAACATCAAAACAATGAACACAATCATGAAAGGAATGATATAGCCTGAGGTTAATAAGGCACAGAGGGCCTTTCTTTATCAACTAAATGTTAAAGCATTCAATGACAAAATATAAACAAGAGGCCCAATGGGCCTGAATCGCTCACCTGGTATTAATCTTACACTTGTTATCTTATAAGTGGCCTTAATTACAGCTACATGCCAGTGTTTGATTCAAAAGAATCTATTAAAAGATTTTATCAAGTGGCACATGTGACCTTGAAAGTCAAACAAGGACATTAAGTTGACTTTATAGCCTTTTATACCAGCATGCTTCTAGCCAAATATCCTTACCCTGGACCTTGAGATTATTTAGAAGTTGTTTTTAACTCATTTGACCCCTGTGACCTTGCAAATGGGTGAAGGTAGTTCATTTGAACAAACATGGCAACCTTCATCCATGCATGTAACTGGCAAAATACCATCACTCTTGTCCTTTTGGTTATAAAGAAGTTGTTTACATTTTTGACCCCTGTGACCTTGAATTATCTTGAATATATTTCAAGGTCATTCATTTTAACAAACTTTGTAGCCATTTATCCCAGCATGTGAATGGTCGATTACCAACACCCTGGGCCTCTTGGTTATTCAGAAGAAGTTGTTAAAAGATTTTAAACATATTTAACCCTTGTGACCTTGGATATAAGTCAAGGTCATTCATTTGAACAAACTTGGTAGCCCTTTATACCAGCATGTTACTGGACGAATATCATCACCCTAGGCCTCTTGGTTATTCAAAAGAAGTTGTTTTAAAAGTTTTCAACATATTTAACCCCTTGGACCTTGAATATAAATCAAGATCATTCATTTGAACAAACTAGGTAGCCCTTCATCCCAGCATGTTACTGGACGAATATCATCACTCTAGGCCTCTTGGTTATTCAGAAGAAGTTGTTTTGAATGTTTTAAACATATTTGATCCTTGTGACCTTGAATAAAAGTCAAGGTCATTCATTTGAACAAACTAGGTAGCCCTTTATACCAGCATGTTACTGGACGAATATCATCACCCTAGGCCTCTTGGTTATTCAAAAGAAGTTGTTTTAAAAGTTTTCAACATATTTGACCCCTTGGACCTTGAATATAAATCAAGATCATTCATTTGAACAAACTAGGTAGCCCTTCATCCCAGCATGTTACTGGACGAATATCATCACTCTAGGCCTCTTGGTTATTCAGAAGAAGTTGTTTTGTATGTTTTCAACATATTTGACCCCTTGGACCTTGAATATAAATCAAGATCATTCATTTGAACAAACTAGGTAGCCCTTCATCCCAGCATGTTACTGGACGAATATCATCACTCTAGGCCTCTTGGTTATTCAGAAGAAGTAGTTTTGAATGTTTTAAACATATTTGATCCTTGTGACCTTGAATAAAAGTCAAGGTCATTCATTTGAACAAACTTGGTAGCCCTTTATCCTAGCATGTTACTGGCCAAATATCATCACCTTAGGCCTCTTGGTTATTCATAAGAACTCTTTAAAAGATTTAAACATATTAGACTACTATGACCTTGAAAATGGATAAAGGGTCATTCATTTGAACAAACTTGGTAGCTCTTTAACCCAGCATGCTACTGGCCAAATTTCATCATCCTAGGCCTTTTTGTTACAGAGAAGAAGTTGTTTAAAGTAAAAAGTTGAAGCCAGACAGATGGACGATGGACGGACGATGGATGGTTATGCCATGGGACTAAGTCCCAAGGTGTGAGGCTAGACTTTGGGGCTAATACTTGTGGTATGAATGCCTCACAAAGGCTGCACATATAGAGTGGCATTAGAGGATGGGGCTATCAACAGTTACCATGTGAAAGGGAGTTATAGTCCGAAACGAATGTGATTTACAAATACCTAACTTTGTTTCTTTCAAAAAGATTAGCATATTTACGGTTATCAAGGGATTGATTTAAACTGATGGGTGAATTGTAATGATAATTTATCCCTGGGATCTGCAAGAGGTGGTTCATTTTTTTTCAACATAGAGACTTCAAGAAGGTGAGGGAAAGGCACTCAGGCACCAACCACATTCACTGAATACAACGTATGGGCAGATCCATGTATTATGGAACCATACTCAAGCTTGGATCGTATAAGTGACTAATAAAGGCACAACAATACTCTACTCACCTGTTTTGCTAATTGCTTCTTCATAAGTGACAGCATATTGATTGTCTGTAAAGTAGAAAACACAAAGTTTAAGGCATTGTTATTGGTATTTTCCTGCGGTTCGCAGTAAAAGCAGGAAATATATGTCTGTTCGTATTCGCTAGGAGCTGTAATCTGATTGGCTGGGTGTAACGAGGTGCTGTTGCATGTGCAGGTGACGGTATAGGGTGGGAGAGTGTGAAAGCTGGTCATTCTAGCCTGTTGAACCTGACCCAGACGGTTGGGTTTCTATACAGTAAGAAGATGGAGCCGGCGGTAGCGCAAGCTATGCAGGTAGCACAGACAAACATGATGGAGAATTTGGAGCGTATAATGACAGCAAAGTTAGACAGGTTTCAGCAACATATAGCAGATTCTCAGAGAGTTTTGAGCGAGGTACAGTTGGCGAAGTTTGAGACAATGACAAAAGACTCGTACAAGTTTATTAAAAAAGGTAATGAAGAACAGCACAAAGTTAATACAAAGGTGAGGCAGGCAATGAAGGAGGCAGAAGCAGCGTTGAAGGAAAAAGATGGAGAAGAGGCCATGGACATGATATCTAAAGGTATTGATATTTTGGACCACAGACAGAAATTAATTAAAATTGCTGATAGTTCAGAGTTTGGTTGGAGGACTGTTTCTGAATATGAAAAGAAGGAGTTGGCAGACGATTCAGAGGATGAGAAAAGGATGGTGAAAGCAGAGAACAGAGCACAGAAGAAGTTTAAGCAACAGATGATGCAGAGGAGAACCAGAGCACAGCCCCGTCGAACGCACCCCTACGCCCAGGCCCCGGAACCGGAAGTCAAAGGGAATAATGTGGATGGAGTGAGAAATAAGAGTGGGAATGGATCAGCGCGTCGTCCCGGGACCTGCTTCAGCTGTGGGAAGGCGGGGCATTGGCGTTTTGAGTGCAGGGAGATACTCAGTAACGTGGAGGATTGAAATGCTAAGATAAGTATTGAGAAAAAGAGAATAGATGAGAGCTCTGAACACATTTTTTGTGGGAAAGTGAAAGTAGAGTCGCCAGTGGGCAGATTGAAAAGAGCATATGATTTTTGGGTTGGTATGGGCTCAGATAAGGCCGTTTTGGAGGTGATAAGAGAGGGATATAAAATCCCTTTTGTCACATTACCAGGTCCAGATGAAATTAAAAATAATCGGTCAGCGAGAGAGCATGGAGATTTTGTAGAGCAGGAAATAGCAAAGCTTCTCGAGAAAGGTTGTATTTCGGAATTTGAGAATAAGCTGTATGTTGTAAATCCATTAACGGTTGCAGAGAACAAAGGAAAAATGAGAATGGTCCTAGACTGTAGGCACATCAATCCTCATATTTACAAGTCGAAATTCAAATATGAAGACAATGTAGTAGCCAAAGATATTTTTTCAGAAGGAGATTTTATTTTTGGTTTTGATTTAAAATCAGCCTATCACCATATTGAGATATTCG